TTCAGCTTCTGATGATTTTTTAAAAAGGCCACAATATAGTGTAATATGCACTGAATTTTCCTGGGTGCAAACATTTTGATCGAGGGCTCTAATTTGGGAATGCCATTGCTCACCGAGTCCGTTCTGAACTGATAAGGATAGATACTCCCAGCCGGACAGCGGGAGTTCTAGCGCCACGTCCATACACAAGCTGAGAAAAGTCACAGCCATCTGGCGTCTTTTATCAGCCTGTCTTTTCACTGCCAATGGATGCCGAACATACTGCTCGGTTTAGCACTAGAAATACATTGAGACACATGGAGCAAAAGCTGTGAGTCTGGGAAACGGAGGGAGAGCTTTCTGTTTTCATTGTTGGAGCCAGTGAAAGCTGAGAAGGCGAAAAAGAATACATCTCGCCCTGTTAACAAATCGGACGAATACGATGGCAGAGCTTTGGCAAGCATCCTCAGAGGTTGTGAAGTCTGTTGGAACTAGGAAAGTGGGTTTATATATCTGTGGAATGACCAGGGTGGGACAAATCCTTGTCTGCTGGAGCTAGGTGTGAATGTTTCAACTGACCACCTTGATTAGCATTTCATTGCCAGGCAGTGCCCGGGGGAATCTTTTGTTGAGGGGTGATTAGATGTCCTTGATTGTTTCCTCTCTGTTGTTTTGCTGTTGTAATTTTAGAGTTTATGTTTTCTGATGGTCTTTAGCAACCCCTTTGAAACCCCTTTGTGACCCCCCCTTCCAGGGGTCCTGACCCCCAGGTTGAGAAACGCTGCTCTAAGAGATGAAGATTTTTATCAAGGTGGGAAAGTTCTCCAACAAATAAAATATGCACCCCGGACTTTCAAAATGGTATTTTCAGCCTCCCTTACCCTTCAGCCCCTCATGCTTTTCTTAGGTTACTTTGGTGATAAGTTGTCATCGTAACATCGTAAGATAGGTCATCACTCACAACAGTGCAAAGTCATGACGATCATAAATCTGAAAGAAGGGCCATTTGTTTGTTTTGGAGAATCCAACCTCTCTGGGGTTGGACAGATTCATTTCACCTATCCTGTCATTTAATCATTCACCAAGTTCGTATAAATCACATAAAGGCCCAGCGCATAATATGCATGGAGACGGAGTGCAATGCAAGGAGACCGGGACGTCTTTTCCGTTATCAATGAAATCAGTGAAGGTGATATACTCATCTCAGATATTCGGAAGCAAGAGCAGAAAGGAAAAGGGGACTAATGTTGAGATGTTCTTCTGTTGGCTCTTGAATGAAAAGAACAAAACAAAACTTTTAATAGATGGCGTAGAGAAAATGGAATAGTCCATTTATTTTTTCCTTCCAAAATGCTAGAATTTATTATTACCCATTGTAAGAAGTAATGAGGTACCCAGAAAAGCAAAATAAAGGACTTCTTCATGCAATGAACCTCTGTTGAATATAATAAATAGCTCCCTTGAGCAAGGAGTTTTTCCAGAGGGTTTAAAAGAGGCGATGGTCTCTCCGCTGCTGAAGAAACCAGACTTGGATCGTTCGGTTCCCTCTAGCTACCGCCCAGTCTCGAACCTTCCATTTCTGGGCAAGGTGGTGGAGAGGGCAGCAGCGGAACAGTTGCAGCAGTTCCTAAATGACACAGCCGGACGCGATCCCTTCCAGTCTGGCTTCCGTAGTGGGCACGGGACGGAGACTGTGCTAGTTGCCACCACAGATCAGCTTCGCTGCCAGATGGATCAAGGCGGATCAGCGCTGCTCGTGTTATTGGACCTCACAGCAGCATTTGATCACAATCTATTGACCCATCGCCTAGCCATGACTGGGGTGAGGGGGATACCCCTTAAATGGGTGTCCTCCTTCCTCCAGAATCGGGGACAGTGTGTGGTGAGGGGAGAGATGGTTTCCGAGAGATCTCCACTAACTTGCGGGGTCCCGCAGGGAGCTATTCTCTCTCCTCTATTATTTAACATCTATATGTGACCGCTTGCCCAACTGGTGCGAAGCTTTGGGCTTGAGTGCCACCAGTACGCTGATGACAGCTCATTCTGAGGATGGAGGGCCGGCCGGACTCTGTACCCGAAAATTTCCATCAGTGCCTTGAGGCCGTTACTGGATGGTTGCGTGCCAGCAGGTTGAGGGTGAATCCAGCGAAGACGGAGATGCTTTGGCTGGGCCATCCAGGTGGGAGAGAGATCCAGCTGCCTACCCTGGATGGCGAGACACTACGTCCGTCACCTTCTGTAATGAGTCTTGGTGTCTTATTGGACCCTCTGCTCACAATAGAGGCACAGGTCTCTGCTATGAGCACATCTGTGTTTTTCCATCTACGTCAGGCTAGGCAACTGGCTCCCTTCCTATCTAGGAACGACCTGCCTACAGTGATCCAGGCGACGGTCATCTCGAGGCTTGACTACTGTAACGCCCCCTACATTGGCCTTCCTTTGTCAGTGATCCAGAAAATGAAGCTGTGCAAAATGCGGTGGCTCGTCTTCTCGCCAGGGTGCCGGCAAGGTGTCGTATTACCCTAATTCTTCAACAGCTGCACTGGCTTCCGATTGAGTACTGGATCACTTTCAAGGTGCTGGTACTAACCTTTAAGGCCTTATATGGTCTGGGGCCGGCGTACCTGAGGGCCCGCTTATCCCCCTACCAACCCCAGAGATTACTTCGGTCCGAAGCCCAAAATTTGCTTGAAGTCCCCAACATCCGGACTTATCATCTGTCCTCTACTAGGCAGAGAGCCTTCTCGATTGTGGCCCCTTATTTATGGAATGCCTCGCCAGTTGAAACCCGAACCATCCGAGAGCTACTTCCTTTTCGGAAGTCGCCTGTTAAGGGCTGAAAAATGCGGTATAAAGTGAAGCAAATAAATAAATAATAAATAAAGCCGCCTTTTCCAACAAGCATTCACACCTAGCTCCAGCAGACAAAAGTCCTTTGTCTCACCCTGGTCATTCCACAGATATATAAACCCTTTTTCCTACTTCCAACAGACCTCACTACCTCTGAGGATGCTTGCCATAGATGCAGGCGAAACGTCAGGAGAAAATGCCTCTAGACCATGGCCATATAGCCCGAAAAAACCTACAACAACCCAGTGATTCCGGCCATGAAAGTCTTTGACAATACATAGAACAGTTTTTCTGTTGGCTGCATGGCAGCCCCCATTTCTGTCTCACGCAACTCTCCTCAGGGACCCTGCGTCAGAAAATACACACAACAAATCTGGATTTGGTTATGGCCGTTGACAGCCCCAACAAGGCCGTGATGCCTTGTCTCTCTTGGCAAGTCAAGCCGAGTCTCTCTTTTTCCCTGAGATTCAAACTTATGTTATTTAAGTCTCGTGCAGAATTTTAGAGAGAATCACAACAGGCCAGGGTTTCATGCTACCACAATCCTCTTTGATTAGATTGTTATGGGAAAGTCCTGCTCGAGTCATAATACCTGACGGCTTTATCAGAGCCGCGTACCAAAAGGTTAAGAGTTTGGGTTGCATCATTCTTGATTTCCCAATAGGTTTGGTATGAGTTTTCTCCAAACCCCGGAGGGGCTGGCGGACATCCGATGTATTGTCTCCCTCGAACGGCAGAGTGTCCTTTACACGCAGCGGGACGGAAAACGCGGTAATTATTTGGGCTATATTTCAGTTTTGACTCTAGTGTGAAAAATAAAACGGTTTCAACTTCGGCACGAGGAAGCCCTGCGTAATTATATTCCTGTGATACAATCAGAGGCTGACATTATTGTGGCTTCCGCAAAACACCCTCGTTATTCTCGCAGTTCTCTAAGGCACGGACATATACCCTTCATCACTCCCAGAAATAGTTACCGGAGCATTCTTACAGATGATTTCTTCAACCCTTGGCCTGGAGATGAAATTCCAGATACTGGTTCATACAATAAGCTCTAATGCCCACCTTCAGATCTTCAGGCGAAAGTTGTGGGTGGTTTAGGGCACTGTGCCAAAGAGTGAAAAAGAATTATTTTTCCCCCCAAACTTAGGCAATCCCTCGTTGGCCGAGTAGGATAGTCTTCCAGGATCAGAATTCTGGTGGGTCCGTAGGTGACTGTGGAGCCCTATTCTTGACCTGCATCTTCTCCCACAGTGAGGGCATTGCTTTCCAGGTGGAAGGCGGTCTCGGTCGGGGTTGGCTTGACACACCTTCCTCTTGGTACGTTTCTCTCTTTCACCCTCCATTTGTGCCTCTTCAAATTCTGCAGCACTGCTGGTCACAGCTGACCTCCAGCTGGAGCGCTCATGGGCCAGGGCTTCCCAGTTCTCAGTGTCTATGCCAGAGTTTTTAAGGCTGGCTTTGAGCCCATCTTTCAATCTCTATTCCTGCCCACCAACATTACGTTTTCCGCTCTTGAGTTTGGAGTAGAGCAACTGCTTTGGGAGACGGTGGTCGGGCATCTGGACAATGTGGCCGGTCCAGCGGAGTTGATGGCGGAGGACCATCCTTTCAATGTTGGTGGTCTTTGCTTCTTCCAGCACGCTGACGTTTGTCCGCTTGTCTTCCCAAGAGATTTGCGGGATTTTCTGGAGGCAGCGCTGATGGAATCGTTCCAGGGGGTGCATGTGACGTCTGGAGACAGTCCACGTTTCACAGGTGTATAGCAGTGGTCTCAGGAATTGAGTGAAGGTACTGTAAGTCCCATCATCCATGGTCCACCCTCCTCCAAACTGCACCAAGATGAAAAGTGGGTTATGGGGGCTCTGTGAGTGAACTTTGGTCTTTCTCGGTCATTGGATGAGGGTTGCAGTGGTCTCAGGAATTGAGTGAAGAATTTAATAACGAAGATATATAGAAAGTTGTTAGAGTGGAAATTGGAATCTAAAGGTGGAAAAAAACTACAGAAAGAGGTGGAATGAAATATAAAATATAAAGCAAAATATAAAGAAATATAAAGCAAGAGGAATGGGAAAAAAATTGGAGAGAAAAATTAAAATATAGCTATGCTACCGATCTGAAGGAAAATTAGTAATAATAATAATAATAATAATAATAATAATAATAATAATAGTGTACAGAAGTTGATTATAAATTGTATGATTTTAACTGTATTTGTGTTTAGATTGGCTGCACTAATGCTGGAGCGGCCTAACTGAGAGGAGTGCGTTGCCATGGAGACGATGTAGGCTAGAGAGAGAAGTGGGAGGAGCTTAGAGGGGAGAGTTTGAAAAACGACAGTTTATGTTCAGTTAGGTTTTAGGTTTAGAGGAGTGAACAGTCATGAGTTAGGGTTTAGCAGTGAGGAGTTAGAGTGAGGAGTTGAGAGAGAAGGAGAGGAAAAGGTGGCTGAGTGACTTGTGAAGCAAAGTTTCGAGGCTTTGGAAAGCCGGGTCTGGCTATTGAAAGTTTCTCTGGCTAGGGTAGCCGAAAGGGGGAAACATAGCCGGAATTCTTTAGTCCAAGGAGAGGCTAAAGAATAGCTTATTTAGAATTTGATCTAGGAAGGATCAAATAAGGGAAATATCCCTGTATTGATACTTTGTCTGAAGCAAGCGCTCTACGTCAGGAAGATACTGTGTTACTTTAAAGAATGAACTGTTAAACTTACAAGCATTGTTCTAAGTTCTATAAGAAAAGTTACAACTTGCAACCACACGCTTTGTGCTCAATAAACTTGTTAACTTTTGTTTGAAGACTGCCTCACCTCCATCAATTCTGCGTCCAGTGTGCCATTTCTCACAATATTATAACTTACCTCACGTGGTGGCAGAAACGCAGGGGAAAGTGACCAAATAGATATACATTCTTATCTCCAGTCACGCTACAATACATACCGTTTAATTACTACTAAGTTATTACTATCTTAATAAAAGAAGAGGTGCGATTGAACAGCCTCCCTTCTAACTTGATGGTAAATTTGGTTCCTTTCAAATTGGTAACAACAATAATCATCCCTAGGCTCCCCTGCTCCTGCGCAACAAGTAATAGAAGTACCAGCACAAAGTGCTGAAAGTGTAAAGAAAAGGAAGGCTCATATTTTCACATTTGGTGGACCTGTAAAAAGTAGGCCTGTGCGGTTTCGTTCGTTAATTCGTTAATTCGTTATTAATTCGTTATTTTTGGCATTTCCGAAGCGATATCAAAACACATTTCCAAACCCGGAAGGGTTTTAAAATATCGAACCAGCAACCCCCATAGATTTAACGAGCTTCCGCTCGTTTCGTTAATGGGGTGGAGGCTGCTGGAGTGCTGGTGCCTGGGAGCCAATCCGGCGCTCCCAAGCAGTGCACCGTGGGTCCGTGGCTGTTTGTTTTTGATTGGCCGGCGAGCCCTTTCAAAGCGGCTCCGCGCGGCCGTAGCTTGCTGCAGAGGGCGAGGGAGTTTGCATTGGGTTGGCTTGGCTGCTAGCAACTGGATTAATGGATTCATTCCTTGCTGCTGTGAGTGCTGCTTGCTTCATTTGCTGTCTCCTGCCTGTGTTTGGTCCACATTTGGGCCATTTTTGGTTAATTTTCCATTTTAAAATATTTTTTAATATTATTTTAATATTATTTTATTATTTTAATATTATTCTTAAAAAATATTCTAAAAAAGAAAAGACTCTTCTGTTGGTGTGTGCTCTCATTTGCTGTATCCTGCCTGTGTTTGGTCCACATTTGGGCCATTTTTTGGTTAATTTTCCATTTTAAAATATTTTTTAATATTATTTTAATATTATTTTTTAATATTATTTTAATATTATTCTAAAAAATATTCTAAAAAAGAAAAGACTCTTCTGTTGCTGTGTGCTCTCATTTTCTGTCTCCTGCCTGTGTTTGGTCCACATCAGGGCCATTTTTTGGTTCAGTTTCCATTTTTGAATATTTTTAATATTATTTTTAATATTATTTTAATATTATTCTTAAAAAATATTCTAAAAAAGAAAAGGCTCTTCTGTTGGTGTGTGCTCTCATTTGCTGTATCCTGCCTGTGTTTGGTCCACATTTGGGCCATTTTTTGGTTAATTTTCCATTTTAAAATATTTTTTAATATTATTTTAATATTATTCTTAAAAAATACAAAAAATATTCTAAAAATTCGTTAATATTTACAAAATTTTGTAAATACCAAAACTTTTTTGGGGGAAAGTTTTGTAATTATTTTAAATATCGAAACAAAAAAACACCCCAATTACAAATCGATTTTAGAAACAAATTTTTTCTTGATCAAACAGGCCTAGTAAAAAGGCAAAAGAATACTGGAAAGAGGTTCAGAAAGAGCTACAAGAAATCTTACAGATCAAAATACCATGGAAGGCAGAATTATTTCTCCTAGGGATGCACGAGCTGAAAACAGAAAAAAACAGAGAAAAAATTCTTTTCCTGATAACAACGGCAGCAAGGATTTGCTACGCCAGACGGTGGAAGCAAAAGGAAATACCAGACAAAAATGAGAGATTGACAAAAATTTTGGAAGTTAAGAATATGGACAGACTTACCTTTTTAATAACAAGAAGTAAAGGAATGAACATGAAAGAAACGAATTGGGAAAAAGTGATGGAATATTTCAAGCAAAGGAACAAAAAGATCCTGACATAATTGAGGATGAGAAGGAGGGAAGAAAGAGAAAGAGAAAGAATATGCGAAGAGAGGAAGAAGAAGAATAAGGAAAGAAGGTCAGAAGAATAGTAGAGATGACCTCGAGAAGACCCCGGGAAGTCGAAAGCAAAGTTTACTTCTTTTCTTTTCTTTTCTTTTTTCTTTTTTAAAACTGGCTTCGGGCTATAAATCTATATTCTTTTTTTTTCTCTTTTTCTTTCTTTCTCTCTTCTCTGTCCTATTTCAAGCACCATTTTCTTTTCCTCTTCGGGGATATACTACTTACACACTATATTTTCTGGTAGCCTCGGCTACATATCTATATTTTAAATGTAAATTGAAAACTGAATAAAGATTATTAAAAAGAGGAATTGAGTGAAGGTACTGTAAATCCCATCATCCATGGTCCACCCTCCTCCAAACTGCACCAAGATGTAAAGTGGGCCATGGGGGCTCTGTGTGTGAACTTTGGTCTTTCTCGGTCATTGGATGAGGGTTGCAGTGGTCTCAGGAAGATAGTGGAGATACTGCAAGGTACTGCAAGTCCCATCATTCGTGGTCCATCCTCCCCCAAACTGCACCAGGATGTAGAGTGGGTGGTGTTGGGTCTGTGTGCCAAGTTTGGTCCTGGTCCGTGATTGGTGGGGGCCACGGTGGTTTGTGTGAGCCAAAGCCTTTGAAAGCACTGCAAATCCCATAATCTGTTGTCCATCCCCCCCCAAACTACACACAAAGGGGGTCATGAGGGTTATGTGTGCCAAGTTTGGTCAAGGTCCATCACCCATGAGGGTCGCAGTGGCCTGTGGAAGTGGCAGCCAATCAGAAAGCCGCTACATACACCGCAGCATACAAACATACATACAAACATTCACTTTTATTATATAAACAGATATAGATATAGATTATATAGATATAGATGAAGGAACTCTTATTGAAGCTTTTCCCCACATGAAGTTCCATAGCCCAGGTTATCATCCCAGTCTAAACAAAGCCCGAATTAATCATTTCCCATCAATTATAAATGAGACAGGCAGGGGAGTACCAAGGGTTGCCCATTTCTAGTTAATTCAAAATAGACAATTTTCTCTTTCTGTTAAAACAGGAGGAAAAATTAAACCCTTTGATTGCTTTGCTTAAACAACTCCTGGGCAATCGTTTCGCTTTCCTCCAAAGCCGGTGATTTATTGCTTGCCTATATCGTTTCTGCTGGAAAGCTGGATGCATAAATCAATCACGACGCCTGTTGCTCAGAATACAGTCAACTTTTGAACCGCTCTCTCTTTCTCACATGGTCCTGAGAAAAAGCCTTTGGTCACAAAAACATCACCTCCTCTCCCCCTTAAAAATTCAGCTGAGATGAATTTGGGATGGATGCAATTCCTCCACCAAATATTCCACAAACAGGGAAAGAGAGAGTGGGTTGAAGAAGCCTGTGAGAAGTGCTTGAGGAATGCTCTTTTTGACAACCAGGGGCGGCTCGTCCATTACGCGAAGTAAGCGGTCGCAGAACACTTTGTTTTTGCCAGTGGCGCAGAGGCGCCTCTGTAAATGCCCCTCGACCGCCACTTGAGGAGTGCCCCCTCAGCTCACAACAGCCCTAGCAGTCCGGGGGGATCCTCGGCTTTCTTGCCTCGCTGCCGGGCGATCCTCTTCCCAAAGGGGACGGGCCCTTGACCCTCGCCTCGCCCCTCTCGTTCCTGCTCCACCCGGCCACCGGGTGTGCGAGCAGAGCCGGCGCTCAATCGTTCTCCGCATTCGATCCCTTCCCCATGACCGGCTCCCTTTCCTGATCCCCTGGCGCTCCACCCGCCTCCTCTCCTCTCCCCAAGCCGCGGGTGGGCCTGGCCCCCTTCGGGTCGGAGGCGTGTCTGAAGACCCCAGCGTTTAACCAAATCCCCATGCCAAGTCTATGAGAAGCAGAGAGAGAGAGAGAGAGAGAGAGAGAGAGCCCCTCCGGCTGGAGGTATCTCCCACCTCCGCTCCCTCCTTTGTTTTTGCGCCTACCTTCAGGAAAGGTGGGCATCTCCCCCTCTCTCTCTCTCTCTCTCTCGGTCCCAATGGCTGAGGAGAAAGTCAGGAGAAGAGGTGACTTTTGGTGCACACGCCGGGGTGTTCAGGCACGCCTCCGGACCCAAAGCGGGCCAGGCAAGGGAGCAAGTGCGGCAAGTGTAGTTACTGGGATGTATAGTTCACCTACAATCAAAGAGCATTCTGAACTCCACCAATGATGGAATTGAACCAAATATGGCACACAGAACTCCCACGACAAACAGAAAATATATATCAATGATTGGTTGGGGGGGGGGAGGGGCGCCAAAATACTGTTTGCTTACCGTTGAAAATTACCTAGGGCCGCCCCTGTTGACAACAGATGGAAATACAAAGCTAGATAGAATAATTTGTTTCAGACCTCACCAATGGGTTTGAAACTGTGAGAAACCTTAACCTAGTGCCTCCAAATCCTCTGCAACGTGAACCTAAAATGAACATGGTGTGGGAAACAGAGGAGGGGGAGATTGGTCTAGCTAGCAAACCCTTATACCAGAGTGTTCCAAACACAATATTGATGGGTTGTTTGGAAGAAGTCAACAATGCCATCAGTGAACAAAAAAATAACAAAGCCAGCGGACCTGATGGGATCCCTGCTGAAATCTTTAAAGAGGGAGGAACTGAGTTGACACAACAACACCATATAATAGAAAAAGTGTGGGTGACCGAGAAAATCCCAGCAGTTTTCATCACCCTCTTCAAAAAAGGAGAAAGAACAGACTGCGGAAACTATCGAGGTATCTCCCTTCTAACCTTCCCTGGGAAAATCCTCAAAAGGATCCTTGCAAACCGCCTTCTGCCCCTCTCAGAAGACACCCTCCCAGAATCCCAGAAGGGCTTCCACCCCTCCAGAGGAACCGTGGACATGATCTTCACTGCACAACAGCTCCAAGAAAGATGCAGGGAATAAAATCAACCTCTGTACATGGCACTCATTGACCTTGCAAAGGCATTCGACACAGTGAATCGCAGCTCCAATGTGGCCGAAAAGGTTCTCTCACAAATCTCACAACAACAAACCAGAGATGAGCTTGCAGCACTGCCTAGTTTGGAAGAAGTCAGCAATG